TCAGGCTGAGTTGTTTCTTATACAAAATGCTTGAGACCAGAAGGGTTTCAGATTTCAATTTTTTTTTCTTCAGATTTTGGAATTTTTGAAGTTAACCAATTGAGCATCCCTAATCTGAAAGTCCAAAATCTAAAACGTTCCAATGAGTATTTAAGTATCATGTCAGTGTATTTTGGAATATTTCAGATTTTTAGATTAGAGATGCTAAACTTGTAGTGTATTTCGCTATTGCAATTCAAAATCAACATATCAAAAACTGGATCCAGCGTTCCTCTCCCAGTTCACTTCCTTTCATAACCTAATTATCTCTGAAAATGGCACTTTCAGGGGCCTGAAACTTCATGGTCATCTTGCATACATTCTCATTTCTCTTCCCCTCTTTCTCACACAAAAAGAGGCATATTATAAACACTGTACTACATTGTATATTTTCTTTTCCCTAAAGGTATACCCAGGGGATCTTTCCCTAGTAGTATATAAAGCTTCCTCATGCTCTTTAATTTAAAAAATGTGGGGTACAATTCAGGATTAGGTATACAAGTGGTCATTGTACAGGTAAAGTTTGGGCCTCCCTTTGCCTGGTTTGAGATCAAGTACCCTTACTGATGTTATATGTTCCCCTCTCCCCTGGCAGTGTCCCGCGACTGCCTACCCCTTTCTTAGAGTACTGTGGTAAATGTTGAGTGGCTGCCTATGAGTGAGAACATGTGGCACAAAGTTCTTTGTATCTGTAATAGATTATTGAGTATCATAGACTCTAAATCTATTCAACTTGCTGCAAAGGCCATATGCTTGTCCTTCTTTATGGCTGCATAATATTCCATTTTAAAAATCCAGTCCAGTTTTGATGGGTAGCAGGGTTGGTTCCATGTTTTTGCTATCATGAATAATTCCTCATGCTCTTTTTCATTTTTATTTTTTGAGTTGGAGTCTCACTCTACTGCCCAGGCTGGAGTGCAGTGGCACACTCATGGCCACCCCAGCGGCAACCTGCTGGGCTCCAGTGATCCTTCTGCCTCAGCCTTCAAGTAGCCAAAACTACAGGCACACACTACCACACCTGGCTAATTTTGATTTATTATAGAGATGAGGTCTTGCCAGGCTGATCTCGAACCCGTGGGCTCAGGCAATCCACTAGCCTCAGCCTCCCAAAGTGCTGGAATTGCAGGCTAAGCCACCAAGCCTGGGCCCTCGTGCTCTTTTTTAATGCTGCATATATCCCACTGTGTGTATGCACTGGTTCCCTATTGATGGATACTTGTTTGTTTTCAATCTTCTACTATCATAAACAATGCTGCAAATAATATCTTATCCATAAGTTGTAAGTGTGTATTTAGGAAAGACTCCCAGAAGTGGAATTTCTGGTTTAAAAATAAATGCATCTGTCCTTCATAAACTCTTGAATCCTTACCTTCTTACCCATTTCCTCTGTCATTAGCCTAGTTTTAGACCTAGATGGCTGAGATAGCTTCCATTCCATCATTGCTAGATAAACCCTGCCCAAAGGACACATTAATGTTTTCATCTTCCTGCAGGAAAATATCCAGTAGTGTTCCTCATCTTCCAAATAAATTACAAATTCCTTAGCCTGTATTTAAAACCACATTATGGGCTGAGTGTATGATGGCTCACGCCTATAATCCCAGTACTTTGGGAAGCTAAGGTGGGAAGACTGCTTGAGCCCAGAAGCTCGAGACCAGCCGAGGCAACATAGCAAGACCTCATCTCTACAAAAATTTAAAAAATTAGCTGGGTGTGGTGGGACACGCCTATAGTCCCAGTTACTTGGGAGGCTGAAAGATCACCTGAGCCCAGGAGGTCAAGGCTGAGGTGAGGCATGATCGTGCTACTGCACTCTGGGTAACAGAGTGAGACCTCAATTCCAACAACAATAAAAAGTTAAAACCACACCATGACCTACCCAATGTATGCTCCATTCCAGGTTCATCTTACCAGGCCTACCCTTAGCCAGACAGGGCTGCTTACTGCTGTCTCAAAAGGTATCGCACATTCCTTCCTCATGCCTTTGTCCATGCCTTTGTCTTCATCAGAAATACCCGCCCCTTCTTCTACCTACCCAAACCCTACTCCTTTTTTTTTACAGGCCTTCTGGAATGCCACCTCCCCCTGAATCTATCACTTACTGTTTCAGCCAGAAAGGATTTCAACCCACCTTCCCAAAGCCCGTTATTTAAATCAATTACATGGCCTTTGACTTACAGTGTTTTCTATCACAGTTATGTCTCCAGGTAGCTCACCTTCCACAAGAGGTTGTAAGATCTTTGAGGGCTTCTGTACAGCATATTTCCCAAGTGCTCTTCACAGTCTTTCACATACACAAGTTTCTCACTAAATACTGGCTGAAGAACTGCTTATTGAAAGAAGTCAGCCTTTTGGCTTGACCTCCACATCCCAATACTGGAAAAGGCTCAGAGGGAAATGAGGAAAACTGTGGCTATAAAACATGCACATGTGCAACAAGGCATGAACACACACGATGCACATATGTCACCTACATGGAAGGCCAGCTCATATATTCTGTCCACTTTGAAGCAGTTACAGAATTAATGACAACAAAACTAAGTGAAGTTCAGCAAGCACTTCATTCTCTCTTGAAGGCTTGTATTTTTTCAAAGGCTTACACTCTTTTTTAAATTCCGTGGACTAGACACTAAAAAAATTAAGTGAAGAAACTGGTAAGGACTATAACTGAAATAAGAGACACTTGGCTGTTCTCAAGGAAAAGTCATGTTCATAGTCTACAAAAACTGTGGGCTGAGTGTCGAAAAATCTGGGTTCGAGTATAGGCACTGTTATACCATGTGGGCACTACATCTAACCAGGAAGCTGTTTTTCCCATCTAGGAAAAACAAGTAAACAAAAAACTCTCCTTTGCAGAAAACTTGTTTCCTCTCCAACCTATTAGCCCCAATTTAGCTCTCTATTCATGCAGTGGGAAAAACTGTGAATTAGGAAGAAAAGGATGTTATCATCATCTTTTGTGATGTGACCTGTTTATCATGACTCAAACCTGGAATCTAATTAGAAAAGTAAAACCAAAGTTTGAGGCATATCAGAAGTATGCAAGCCAGGGGGGCAGCATCTGGCCTAGGTTCAGAAAAATCTCCCTCTCTGATATTTGGGCCCAAATTACCTTTCCAGTGTTATTTTCAAGCATGGCCTGTTTGTCCTAGGATGCCTTCTGTTCTACCCTAACACCTTGGGTTTAAAGAGAACCTAGAATATTCTGCGTAAGGAGTTTCATGCCCTCCTCTTACCTCCCATGCCTTAAACAGATGTAAAGAACCAATCTTGTACTCTCTACCTCTCCCCTTAAAATCTACTAAACCTATACTCCTTCAAAGACAGGACAGATATCTCCTTTCTGTAGCCTTCCTTGACCTTCCTCAGTGGCAGAACCACTGAACTGCCTCATTTGTGTTCCTCCAACTTTGTTTCTACCACTGTGTCTGCTCCCAGAGCACTGAGACCACTACTATTCATTTATGTATCCTCAGCATCTAACATAGTGTCACCAGGCTTATAACAGGAACTTTATAAATAGTGTTGAAGTAGCAAATCCCTAAATTTGACTCTTATCATGAAGCCAGTAAATTTTTGAGAAAATCAATCTTACTGGAATACAGAGATTTCAAAAAAGGAAGGCTGGAACCCCATTAAGGGAAGATCCTTTCTGGTAATCCTCAATTCTCATAGAGGTGGCTGTCTGCTCTGCCAATAAATGAGGACACTCTCTTCTCCTTAGCCATAGCAGCCATCTTTCAGAACACGACATGCTCTGGAAGCCCAAAGGGCTTTACTGTGACCTCACTGTGATTCACAACATCACTGTCCTGATGCTGCAATGGCAACCACTCATGATCTTGGCACATCAATGAATAAATCTAAAGTTACATAAAAAACAGATGAGCATAAAAGGGTCTATGGAGCCCTAAGGAGGAAGACATGTTCTGAGATTAATAACTGATAGGTGAATTCATTTGAACTTTTTCAAAAGTTCAGATTTCTTATACTAGCCTCATTATAGCCTTAGAGTATTGGTTCCCTCACCCTGTCGCCTTCAAACCATTTAAGCCCTCAAGACACTTAATCTGTATTATAAATTAGGCCCTCTTTAGACTGATGTCCCAGAGGTACTGGAACAAGCTCTAGGCCAGCAGCTCAGTCCTACCTAGCAGTAACATGCTGATCCAATGTTATGTATAAGAGACTGGGCTAGATCAAATGAGATCTAGTCCTTGCCTTTAGGGAGCTTCTATTTCAGAGGCAGAAGCACTTAAAGCACATATGAGTACAGTACAATAAGTTCTATGGCAGAAGTGTATGAAGTTCACACAGAGGAGCATAGCTGGTCAAAGAACAGAAGGCCTTAAGCTGGCTACATCCCTAGTTTTAGAAATGTACTCTTACCTCAGTCTATCAACAAATAATTATTGAGACTCTACTACAAAATCTCTAACCTCATGGAACTTTCACTTGGGTTCCAGTTTTAGCAAACAGATTCCTATCTTATTCATTTAATGTACCTTCCAAAGCACCGTTTTGCTAGGATGAAGGCCTCACCTTTTGCTAAGCCATCATCCAGGAACTTGGATTCTGTCATTGGAAAGCAAGACTAGGTCTACATTTCTGATGTTGAGTATACACCTCTGCTTATCCTTCCCCTATTGACCTGTGGCTAGAACCTCTGAGATTATCCTTTGCCTACAATGCATCAGAGTCTTCACCCATAAACTGAGATTAGTAATAGTATCTCCCTCCAAGGGATATATGAGGCTTGGCACATGTTAAATACTTAATAACTCTCATCACTATCATTATTTGTATTATTAAAACACCACACTGCCTGCCTCATCCAAGGACTTTCCCTCCTGATGAGGTGTGAGTTAGGGACAGGAAGGGGCCCTCCCAGGCATGTCCACCCTCACCAAAGTTGTGTGGGCTCAGTTCAGCTTTCACAGACTGGGGAAATAAAATACCTCTCAGTGTCAGGTAGCCATAAGCTAAGCTGGCCAAAGCCTGTGCACATTTCCAGTGATGTTCCCCAAAAATAATCCGAGAAAGGATGACACAACGAATCAGCTCCTTGTTTGCTTGGATATTCTGTAGAAAACAAACAAGTTATTATGCTTTTGGAAAGGAGGAAAATCTCTAGCCCATAGACTTAGCACTGAAATTCAAGACTGAATTCACCTGTCATCTTTTTTCTCTTTGCTTTCCTTCCCATTCCATGTCCAGTTCATTAGGTTTGGCTGCATCCACCTTACTACTAAATCCTAAAACCAAGCTTTTCTGTTCATTTCTGCTATAAGTAACTGGTCCAAGACACCTTCACCTTTTACCTGGCTGACCACAGCAGCCCCTTCCAACTGCTTCCATGCTGGTCCCCACAGTCTACCCCCTACATAATAGCCATAGTGACTTCTTTTAATCTTTTATCATGAAAAACTTTAATTCTGAATCTAAGTTTTTTATTTTAATGGTATATGAAGACAGACATGTAAAATGAATCACTGCATTTTATCAGTTATCTACTCATGGTCAATCTTGTTTCATATCTGTACTCCTCATCCACCTGCCCTCACCTTCTATTATTTTGAAGCAAATCAAAGACATCCTATTGTTTTCTTTATAAACATTTCATAAGTATCTCTAAAAGATGTGGTTTTAGAAACGTAACCACGAAGTCATTGTCTCATCAAAATATTAATAATAATTCCTTAAAATCAAATATCTAGTCTCATAAATCTACTGTCCCATAAATCTAATTTGGTTACAGGTTGTTTGACTATCCACACACTAAGATCAGTCCCTTGAGTCTCTTTTCACCTGCAGGTTCCCCCTCCATCTCTCTCTCTCTTTTTTTTTTTGAGGTGGAGTCTCACCCTGTCATCCAGGCTGGTGTGCAATGGCATACTCATGGCTATCCCAAAGTCAACCTGCTGGGCTCTGGAGATTCTTCCACTTCAGCCTTCCAAGTGGCTGGAACTACTGGCAAGTGCTACCACGCCTGGCTAATTTTTGTTGTTGTTGTTGATTTATTGTAGAGACAAGTTGACTTATTGTAGAGACAAATTGTTGAGACCAGGGCTGGTCTCAAACATGTGGGCTCAGGCAATCCACCAGCCTTGGCCTCCCAAAGTGCTGGGATTACAGGCTGAGCCACCAAGCCCAGCCTCTCATTCTTTTTCTTGTAAATTATTTGAAGAAGAAGCTGGGTCACTTGGTTAGTATTTCTCACAGACATGGATTTTGTTGACTGCATCCTCATGGTGTCATTCAGTGTGTCCCTCCACTATCTGTTCTATCTTTATATTAATAGTTGAACTTAGAAATTTGGTTAATTTTAGTTTTGATTTCTTTTTTTAATACAAAACTACTTCATACGTAGTGGTGCATTCGTCTATCAGAAGATATTTACTATCTGGCCATATCTTTTTCTGACATTAGCCATATCTTTTTCTGACTACATGGACTAATTCATAAAAGATAATAAAATGCTGATATCTTCCTAAGTTTATCAATTCTGTTTCAAGTGTTAGTTGGAATAATTCTATAAAGAGAAATTTCCCCTCATCTGCTCTTTGGTTACCAAGGAATACAGTTCACATCAGAGAGGCAGAATATATTCTTGCCCTTTCTTTACCAGCTTCTCTCACTACCATCCTCTACCACTCTCTCTTTCTCTTCTTACTCCCTCTGCTAGATTCGCAGTGACCTGCTATTCCTGAATGTGGCCAACTGACTCCCAATGCATAGCTGGGTACCTGTTGATCTCTCTGCTTGGGATACTCCTCCATGTCACTCTCTCATTTCATTTTCACTTTGTTTACCTCAGATCAGTCTTTCTTAGCCATCTTATCTAAAATTGCCTCTCACTTAACTGCTCACTATCCCATTACCTATTTTATTTTGTTCTTCATGGCACTTGGCTCTATCTAATATTGCATTAGTTATTATTTTTGTTTATTTATTATCTATCTCCCTAAATAGAAGATGAGTCTTCCGAGGACAGAAATTTATTCCTCCTGTTCACTGTTGTACACTCAGTGCACACAGGAGGTACACAATCAATATCTGCTGATTCAATCATCACTCTGTTAGCAGGGAGAAGGTTGAGGTAAGGGAAAGGGTCCCACTGCCCCTATAGAACTGATAGGTAAGAGCTCTCTAAGAACTTAAAGAATTATATCTTAAGTCATATATTTCAGTGTCTTTACAAACACAGTCATTATTGGCTGCACCAGTTGATGTCAGGCATTTACTTCCTGATGAAGTGAAAATAGCACTTCAAGGAATCAAAAGTCTGACATTTCAGCCCTAGTTCTAATGTTTGTTTATGGATTTGAGGAAGGTCACGCTATCTCAGCTTTAGAAACCTCAACCATCTGCCTCGTAAAGCTATTGTAAGGAAAAAAAATTAGTGTCACAACTTAGATCTAAAGTTGTTAAATGTATTTAAAGAGTAATGTACAGGTAAAGTAGTACCTTAGGTGAGTCCAAGGACTGCTCTCCCTCATGACCTCTATCTCCTGCCCACCTTGATGCTTTACCTGTTCTCTACTCAAATATACAGGTGCAAGCAATGGTAGAAGGGCATGTCACCTGATGCTTTCAAAGCATCCATTCAGTCAGCACTTCTGAGAGTTCACCATGGGCTATCCACAGAAAATACTAAGTTGTATTTTGAGGAAGAAGAATAATAACAAGAAGAAATCACCAGAGTGGGTCCAAAGCTTTGAGTTCTGTCATGGCTTTCGACATTCTATTATTCATCCCCAAACTCCTTGCCCTGGAGAAACTGAGACAACTATTACGGGCTCTAGAGGTTACCCCAGAACTGCTACTGATGATGGTGGCATTCCTCTGCCCCTAAGGGAGTACTGGGTTAGGTAAGATTTATTTTCTATTTAACAGTCATACTAAGGCATAACTGATATACAAAGAACTGTACATATTTATTGTGTACAATTTGGTGAGTTTGGGATTTGGTTAGATTCAAATCATTGTCATCATCCAATTTGGCCAAGGAATTTTCAAGCCTTAAAAGCCCCCACTTGCATTCCACAGCAGATACTTGTCAGTTTTTTAGAAATGATCCTTCTGGCCTGAATTTGTAAAAACACTAATGGGTCCAGGCCAGGATAAGTGTCCTTTGCAAGTTCTCTGAGTAATTTACAGAGATAAATTTACAAATATCTATCCAGAGAGGCACCACAGCAGCAGATGATAGAAAAATGCTAATCCTTGACCAGGAGTAGCCAGGAAGTCAGGGTACAAAGTCTTCTGTCGATAAAACATGCTCTGGAAGCAGGCTGGTGCTTGTGTTCTAATAATGAGACTTAATGTCTTGCTGTCTCAGATTCCTGAATTTTGAACACTCTTGCTTACACACTTGCTCTGAGATTCTGGTTCTCAAGTCCTTAACTTGCTCTTAGAGATGCATACTTGGACTCTGACCGCTGCTGCTACCTCCTGTTTCTGTCCCTTTGGTTTGCTTCTGGTTCCACTGGAACCAGAAGCATCTCACCCATATCCTTTCCAGGTCTGAGCTTAGACCTGCCTGGCTACCCTTGTTCCCAGCCTCACAAACCTGGTCATTTGTTACCAAAGAGGAGATATCACTAACCTGGCCTCACTAACCTGGCCTTTTGTTACCAAAGAGATATCATCCTGAAACCTTCTAGAATAATTTTTTTAAAAATTTTAAGTTAAAGGTAATCAAACAGCAACAGGAAGAACCAAACAATAATTTTTAGTTCAAAGCTAGGAGATTTGGAAATACTCCGAGGAGCAGACTAAACCATGCATGGCACCAGAAGGCAGCCTGGCTACCTGAGTATGCTCTGCTTTGTTTTCTCCCACACCTTTCTTGATTTCATATGCTTCAATCCATATTTAAGGCAAAGCTTCTCAAATCATAAACATATTTTTAAATGGAAATAAAATCTAGTGAGTTTTTTGTTTTACCATTTTTTCCTTAACCAGCTGAGCTACTTTCTTCTGGGATTGAGCTAACTTCTCTTTAGGATGAGACATATAATCTACGGCCTTCTCCTCTTCCTTGGTTTTAGTTTCTTCTTCACTCTCTCCAGAACCACCAGCAGGATACAACTCATCTGTTTGCTGGTGTGCTGGGATTTTGGTTTGCTGTGACCTGTGGGTATAAGACAGGCATTGATTCATGATTTGACCTTTACCTATCTTAAACAAGGTAAAATTGAAGGGTACAGCTCTTCTAACTAGGGGATAGGGATATGCATTCTAAAACAAACTAGAAGTAATACAGCTAGGTGGTAAATGCTTGTTACCCTTAAAGCCCAACATTAAGACAGCGATGTGGTAGTTCAAATTTAGCAGATTTGGAATTGCAGCTCTGCCACTTACCAACCACATGACTCTAAGCAAGTTATTAATTTACTTTTCTGTCAAATGAGAAATATGAATACCTACCTGATGAGGTTAAGTGAGATAATTCTCATAACTCAGTACAGTGCCTGGCATTTAGTAATGCTGCTTTAATGTTAGCTAATACTATTATCATTGGCTCCATGATGTGGTTTTTTTATTTACAAAATGAGGCTGTTGAATTGGAAGATATGAGAGACCCTTCGTGTTCTATAATTCAGATCCAAATGAGCAAAGAAAATGAGAATAGGATAGTGAAATAAGGGAAAGGAAACCAACATTTTGAGGCTAGACTTTGCATGTCTTCTTTCACATATCTTAAAAGCTTTAACATGTAGTGGTCAACTAACTAAAGAGGATGTGGGTCCCACCAGAGGGAGTAAAAACCATATTGGGTCAAGTGCAGATGCAGAAAAGAAATTCATTTTTCCATTGTATTAGAAATAAACATGGTGAGAAAGAGTTAAGTGAGTTGAAAATTTATTTTTCACATACACACACTCACCATGTAGATGATCTCTGATTTCAATGCTGAATATAATTGTGAAAGGGTAAATGGAATAATAAAGATAAAATCAAGAGTTAATCCTATGCAACAGAAGAGATAACTATATCCTAATATCACCAGAAAAATTAATAAAGCACTCCAAAATTGAGCTCTTAAAAGTGACAGTAATAGTTTTAAATTAATTATAAATAAGTCTCCCAAAAGAATTATCTTGTACTTACAATGGCTTCTAAAAGTTCAGCCACTGCATAGTTTTAAAATAAAATTTAGCTTTCTTTTCCACTAATACTTAAGTAGTGAATAGTCAATGTTTAAATTTTAAAAATCCAGAAAAACACAAAAAGAAAATAAATGTTAATGGATCTTTTACACCAGGTTTGAAAAATGACATGCTAATATCCATCCAGAGTTCTAACTATCCTATCAAGAGGCATGTGGGCAAATCACATGTGTAGAAAGGAGAGCAACATTTCTTCAGGTGCAGGCACAGGCCAGATCACCTTCTGCCCACAGACAATCATGCTTTCAGCAAACAACCCGACTAGAAGGAAAAGCCTGGGAAGGTTGGCGATGTAACATAATCAGAAGACAGGTGAACAACTTGCTTCTTCTCTGCCTGGATTCCATATACTCTTTCAAGATGCAATTCAGATGTCACCTCTGCTAGAAGTCTTTCACTGAAGTAGCAATAACGACACCTTCCAAAGAACCAGCAAAAAATCCCCCCCAGGCTTGCCTTAAGCAGGAGATACTAGTGTTTCAGGCCAGTGGGTGAGTGTGATGCCAGAGTTTTGTGATACTTACAGATGGAAGCAGAAGTCCCAGTCAGGGTCATTGCTAACAGTTGGGATACGAATGGGGCCAACTTGCATCTTCTTCCTACTAAGAATCATGTGAGGTCAGCCTTGGGAGAAAAGGTTTAGGAATCTGTTCTATTTTCCCTCCCTGGGATGCTATTTACATTAAACTGAAACTGCTTAAATATATAATCCATCCTAAATACACTAAAAGACAATGCTCACTCATGTCTGGAGATCCCTGGAAAGCTGAAATTAAAGACATCTTCCAAATTAAATGTCTAAGTTAAACTTCTTTGCCCTAATTTTGATTCCACATTATTTCTCCAAAAATTCCTGGCCTTTTTTACTTCTCAAAGCTAGTACGTTTAGGCTCCTGGATCATCAAAAACTATGGTCACCTTAACTCAGATACTGTTCTTGTAGGCCTGAGGGCCAGATGGTTTCGGGCAAAACAACCCACTCCAACAAATGAAGTACAGCCAGTGTATTGTTAATTCTTTTCCCTGAGGCCATTTCTTTCTTTAATAGGAGATTCTAGTAAGAGAGCTTAAAGTCCCTAGTCTGCTGCTATCAGCTGATGGGAAAAAATAGCTGAAACTCATGATGACAAATGCGATTTATAATTAAGTATTTGTGGAATCAAACTCTCAAGGCTATCCCTACTGTTTAAATCAAATCCAAATCAAAAGCATAGTTACTAGGAGGGAACCCCCCCAACTGGAATTTATAAAAAACTACGTATTCTCCTCTATACAAAGATATGGTATACAGAGAGAAGAAAAAAAAAAAAACAACAAAAAAAACTACGTATTCATTCTTACATATTTAAACAAAGTACTCTTCATTTGCAATATACCTATCAAGATGCTTTTTCCACTGCTCAAAACAGTTTTTCAACTTGCCAGTTTTGATGCCTTTTAGTGTTTCTGCCCTTTGAGGACTTTTTTCTTGGACAAGGGGGATCGCTGTGGGGAGATCAGGTGAATAGAGAGGGTGGGGCACCGGGGTCATGCCGCTTTTTGGTCAAAAAACACTGAACACTCAGCGCAGTGGGAGCAGGTTGTTCGTGTAAATCCCCTATCATGAAATGGGTAAACGCGTTGATTCACCAAAACATAAAAATAAATAAAAATTCACTGCAGCCAAACGTAGCCTCTCACTATAACGCTAGCTGTGCACTGATGCTGAGGGGTTCCTAGAACACCTATTGGGGAAGCCTGTTCTACAAGGGGCCTGCCCTCCAAAATATAACTGGTTTTTCTTGGGTCCCACTTGTACTTTTTGAACATAAAACACCCACTAAGTCGCTCTTCACTTCACCCTACAGAATGTCACTCCTCCCCAATGAGCCCTGAGTAGCTTTCTCTGACCCAGGCTCCAGAGCATCCACTCTGAAAATCAGAAGGGAAGATTCACTCGTCTCTCTAATCTCTACTTTCAAATCGATGTACAAGAGCGAGGAGACGTTATCTCTCAAGCTCCCAAAGCCTGATCCTATGAAGTTCCAACATGGCCTTGAACATCAAACTTCGGCCCCTCTCTCAAGTACAAATCGCTTCCTCCCTTTCTGCGGTTCTTCTGCCACGATTTCACAACCCTGACGCCACGGGCCGAGCTTCTACCGGAGTTTCCGCCGCACCCCCGATCCTTGCGGACGTTGCCCCCAATTGCCGACGCTGCAGCGAGACCCAGGCTGCACACCTGTCCCAGAACTTAGAAGCCACGCCCCGGAACTAGCTTTCCCGGCTTCCTCAGCTCGGCGGCTTCCTCGCGTGGCGTCAACGTCCTGGCCCCGGCCGACCTCGGTTCGGGCGCCACGACGGTGCCTCGCGGGAGCTAGAAGGTCTGTGATGTCCACCTTCAGCGTCCGCCGCCTGGGTTCCGGTCTGGGAGACAATTAGGTTGCCATGGTAACGGAACACTGCGGGCGCGCTGGGAGTGCCTGTAGCCATGGCGACGCGAGGAACTTCCGGCCCAAGCCCTACCCAGACGCTCGCCGGCCAATTGCCACTCTCCGTTGCGTCTTCCGTTTTCCGGTCCCCGCGAGCGTGACGCTCGGGATCTCGTCCTGGCTCGCAGACTTGGTTTTGCAGCGCCGGAAAGGGTATGTTCGGCTAAAGACACCGTTATTTTATCTCACAGGACCTTAACCTCTCGGAGGTGAAGACGCAGGTAGAAAAGAGATATCCCGTCGAAGGATGAAAGGAAGCGCCGGGCTTCACGACCCTATCTGTTTAAAGCGCGACGTACGCGGGCTGCATTCGGCGACAGCTCTCGGCCACCTTGCACCTTCTCAAGAGTTCTAGTTCTCAGGACTCCGGAGGAAAAGCTCAGATGTAGCTGCTGACAGTGCTGGCACCGTCTGTTACTTCTCCCAGTAAGATGAGAGCTAGGTTGGGAAAGCAGATTGCAGGAAGTGAGTCGTGAACGAAGTGGACCGCTAGATCTGTTGTTCATGGTTAGCAGTTCATGGAATGTTTTCAATGGTCGAGGGCACATTTGACACATAGTCCTAAATTATTCAGCCATGTAGTCTTATGTTATACCCCATTCACTGGCCTGAAATACACACAGTGGAAATAAATCCAAGATGCAGAGGTAATTGTGGACCTACCCGAAAAAATAGCACTAGCTGACCTTGTGTTACAGAATGTTTTCATGAACCCTAGGCTTGACTTGACTAGGCCTATGTCAAGTCAAGTTGGAGTGAATACGGCCCTCTTGGTTTTGGAAAAGAGCAGACTAGGTAGAGAGACGATGAAAATATTTGCTGAGAACTTGAAAGATGGTGTTTACATTTGGTGTTTGTTCTTTTCTCCTCTAGGGTGGAAGTTAAATAGCCATCGATCCAAGACTGCCAAGAATGCCTTTCTGGAGTTAGGTTGGAGGAGTTAGATGAGTTTGCTTAAATAGCTCTTAAGTAAAACCTGACTGATGGTCTGTTAACTCAAGGTTAAAATCTATACCCTTAAGCTCCTGAGCCAAAATTTTGAAAAAATCCCACCCTTTTTATTGTTTATCCTAAGAAAGCCCTCAGCATGAAACAATGGTAGAGCAATGGACTTGGTTTTAAGATATCACCCTATATGGCCTGGGGCAAGTCACAGCCAATGGGTCCCATATTTCTTGCCTACACAATGAAATTATTTGTATTACCTGCTTTCTAAAGCTTCCAGTTCCAGGATTCTATAAGGGTAAGCTATGGATTTTTGTGCCACTTTGAACAGTATTTAACAAGCCTGGGGATGAAAAGGAGTAACCTGTTTTCTGTTCTCCAACATTTATTTCCTTTACCCCTTGTTAAGATGGTCTTCATCAAATTGAAGTTTTAGTGTTTTGTCACTTAAGGAAATGGCTATGAGGTTATTTTTTAAGTAGATTAAAGGTACCTTCTCAACATTTACTTTTGCTGATCATTGTGAAGTACAGTACCAGACACTGAATTTCTCATTCCTAAAGCCAACACTCAGATTCTGCCTTCACTTAGCTCTGACCAGAAGCATGTTATCTTCATCTATACAATTATAAATCAAACTAAAGGAACTTCGAAGACCCTTAAAGTTATGAACCTCTGTGATATTTTTTCTTCCCTTTCCATCTGAATCATGTTGCCTAAATGTAAGCTTTAGTTGTAGTATATGTGCTTTTAGGTTTACGCACTAACTGTGGAATGGAATGCCACTAATCTAGGAGGATTTTGCTTTTGCAGTATGTTCATTCACATTCCCTCCCTTGATCTTGAGGTAGAAGAGGCAAACATTGCTACTGCAGCAATTGCATAGAGGAAGCATTTGTAGAGGGTACTTCTAGATTCTTTCAACCCCACATCAAATGTGATTATCTCCAAACTATTCCAACCCCAGGAACTGTGAAACAAATTAAGAACAAAAAAATCCAAATAAACTTTTTCTTGGAACATTTTATGACTTCTCAAGAAGTCTGAGCTTCCACAGTATCCTGTCCACAATCTTATGACTCTCACCACACTATATTATCACTTTCTATTTATCTGCAAGTTTCTTGTGCCCTCCATGCATATATTCATCCACCCAGATAAAACTATCCATTAGCCGGGCTCGGTGACAAAGCCTGTAATCCCGCACCTTGGGATGCTGAGGTTAGTGGATTGCCTGAGCCCGTGGTTTTGAAACCTCATCTCTACAATAAATCAAAAAATTAGCCGGGCTTGGTAGCGCATGCCTGTAGTTCCAGCTACTTGGAAGGCTGGGGCAGAAGGATCGCCGGAGCCCAGCAGGTCGAGGCTGCGGTGGCTGGGAGTGGCCACTGCACTTCAGTCTGGGCGGCAGACTGAGACTCCAACTCAAAACAAAAAAAACCAAAAAAACCCTATCCATTAAATACAGCAAGTTCCTTACATACAAATCTTCAAGTTGCAAACTTTCAAAGATGTGAACATGTGTTCACATGTCCAGTCACTTAAGTTAGTTCACATATCTGGCATACATTGTCATATGCATGCACCCTCTACAAGTAGTTGTGCTTTTGTGTACTTTATAGTACTGCATAGAGTACAGTAGTACATTATCTTTATTTCAAGCCCAGAATGTCCGGAAGCTAGCATAAAAGCAGCAGTGATGTAGCTGGTACTGTATAGCCAATTGTGTCAGTTGAATACCTAGGCTAACTGTTGGACTTACAAAAGCACTCTCAGGACAAAACTCATTCATATGTAGGGCACTTAATGTACCTACTGTGTTCCAGATAATGCTCTGTGCATTAGGGAAGCAAAGGTGAACAAATAGGCAAGGATTTTGCTCTCACCGAATTTATATTCTACTAGGGGAAGCAAAACACAGAGCTGCTAGTAAACAACATGGTATCTCTGCAGATTAGAAAAAGACATAGGGAGCTGGGCACAGTGACTCACCCCTGTAATCTTAGCACTTTGGGAGGCCAAGGTGAGAGGACTGCTTGAGCCCAGGCACTCAAGACCAGCCTGGGCAACATAGCAAGACCTCATAAAAATGTTTTAAAAATTAGCTGGGTGTGGTGTTGCATTCTTGTAGTCCCAGCGACTCAGGAAACTGAGGCAGAAGGATCACCTGAGTCCAGGAGGTTGAGGCTGTTGTGAGCTACTGATAATACCACTGCACTCCAGCCTGGGTGACAGAGTGAGACTCTGACTCAAAAAAAAAAAAAAGAGAAAAAGGCATAATGGCTTAGGGCAGCAGTCTCCAACCTTTTTTGCATCAGGGACTGGTTTTGTGGAAGACAATTTTTCCACAGACCAGGGGTGGGGTGGGAGGATGTGCAGTCAAACCTCACTGCTAATCTGTATTTGCAGCCACCAGCATCACTGCCTCAGCTATACCTCAGGTCATCATGCAACCTGGATCCCTCACATGAGCAGTTCACAATAGGCTTCATGCTTCTTTGAGAATCTAATGCTGCTGTTGATCTGACAGGAGTCTGAGCTCAGGTGGTAATGCGAGCAATGGGAAGTGACTGTAATACAGATGAAGCTTCACTTGCTTGTTCACTGCTCACCTCCTGCTGTGTGGCCTGGTTCCTAACAGGCCACAGACTGTTACTGATCTGTATCCTGGGGCTTGGGGATCCTTGGCTTAGGAAGTAGGCAGCAACAATGTGTGAGTTCAGAAAAAGCCTCTACTTCAGCCAGACTCAGGCCCCTGCTCAGGAGTACAGCTTTGAGAACAGCGGGAAGGCTGGATTTTTAAGACTCGCTTACTCCCTCAGCCAAGTGAGCCACCTTGCAATTAAGTGATAAATGATGTGGAGAAAAAGCCAAGCAAGAGATATATAAAGTGATGTGGTCATGTGGGGAGAAGGAATGTGCTTGCAATGTAGTTGACAAGATGGCATTGAGCAGAGACCTCAAAGACATGAGGGAGCAAGTCATGCAATAAGGAGATGCACATTCTAAGAAGAAATGCAAAGTCCCTGAAGCGGGAGCAAGTTTAACCAGGTCAAGGAACAGCTCAAAAAGCAGAAAGAATGAGAAGAGAGAAAGGAGACTGGGTCAGTAGAGTAGCAAGACATCAGGTCATGGAGCTACTAAATCAAACAAATAAAAAAGGACACAGCTAGGCTCCATGGCTCAGCCTGTAATCCCAGCATTTTGGGAGGCTGAGGCGAGTGTATTGCCTGAGCCCGTGGGTTCAAGACCAGCCTGGGCAACTTGGCAAGACCTCATCTCTACAATAAATCAAAAATTAGCCGAGCGTGGTAGCGCGTGCTTGTAGTTCTGGCTACTCGGAAGGCTGAGGCAGCAGGATTGCTGGAGCATAGCAGGTTGACACTGGAGTGGCTGTAAGTGTGCCACTGCACTTCAGCCTGGACGACAGAGTGAGACTCCAACTCAAAAAAAAAGAAAACATAAAACCATCTTCTTATTTGGGCCCACCTAGATAATCCAGGATATTATTTTGAAGTCAACTGATCAGCAACCTTAACTCCCCCCTTGTCATATAACTTATTCACAGTTTAGATTCACATCTAACATAGTCACAGATTCTGGGGACCAGGACATGGAGATATTTGGGAGGACTTATTCTGCCTACCAGAATGTGTTTAACCTGACTTAAATGCATGGCTTTTGAAACATTTCGAAGTGACAAATGAGGAGCCCTTACTACCTGTATTTTCTCTTGGCTGTTAGAAGTGTATGTCATTTGATTGTGTCCTGGTTGTTTTTCTTCCTTACACACCTATTTTATAATTTGGTACATCCAGCTACAGTTCTTAAATATGCTGTTTCTTCCCATTGTAGGACCTGCTTTATAATAAATGTTGCGGGAATAGCTTTTTACTTCCTACTCACTTCCATCTTTTGGGGCTTTAACTCCGCAAAGACTCCATCTGCTGGAACCCACAATGATTGTTCCTCAGCCAGCTCCTATGCCCACTCATGGTGACCATCAGAATTGGGTCCTTGTTCTTTTGTTTCTCAGATATGCCACACACTCCCATAATGCTTGACAGCTCTCTGCCTTGAGCTGGTGAACAGAAATTGCTACTCTTGTGAATGCCCTGGTTCCTTGGTCTGTTGCTTTTCCCCAACTCACTCTTTGCCTTGCACACTGCCTTTTAACTTTGCTCAAAAACATCAACCCCATCTTTGTTGGATAGTGTTTCTGCTGCTGTCAGCACCCAACATTCCAGTTATGCCACACTGCAAAAGGTTGTGCTTCAACATGTTCTGGGAGTGTTTTCCCCCATACAGCATATCATGTGTTTATCTTAAGATGGGTGGGTTTAATTATTAAAGGCTTTGGAGTATGTCTGAAAGTTTATGTAAGGAAAACAAATTGATGACTCTTACTCAACCAACTTGCAAAGGCCATTCTGTCTCACTTATTGTGATGTTATGTGCAAAATTCCTTTTTTTTCTTGCACTGTTTTATGTCTTGATGGAAGCTAATGTGGAAATGGGCGATTATCCAGACTCTTAACATGTGTGTAAAGACATACATACACAGGATAGTCATATCATCATTTTTGTAGCTGTAAAATACTGGAAGCAGATTAAATGTCCATCAATGAGGAACTACCGAAATAAAATACAGTACAGTCATACTATATTACTCAGCAGTTAAAAAGAACGGGTGTGTGTAGCAGCAGAGAACAATTTCCAAGAATGCTTAAGAGGGAAAGTAAGATACATGCTTACATGTAAATATACACAAATAATTAAGAGATTTATTTTCAGTTTACTTCATTTGACCTACAGTTATAGCCTGATATCTAAGCACCAAGGTATGAGAGTCTTTTTACACCCCACCTTTGGCTTATAAGGCATTTCTTTCCATCTAAGACTGGTTTTGTTAATCTAGGTTTCCTTCCCAGCTGAGTGTCTCCATGATGCCATCTTTTGAGTTGATTGATCACAGCTAAGTTCTTCTCTCAGGGTACATGTACTTGCTAATTTAAAATAGTAATAACCTCATATACTATTTGCATTATTTCTATTGATTTCTGTTGTTCTTCCATTTTTGGTGAGAGGATGGGACATTAGAAGTTCAATTAAGTAACATTGAGTGTCACATACTTTGAAATCAAAACTTTCAGTCTATAGGATGAAGGAAGGAGAACTGAAGTAGAGGTGAAATCATGTTGTAAGTGGGAAGGGAAATGGCCTTGTTATGTTGTATTATGATAAATGCTAACAACTTAAGTAATTGTCCCGATTTCATTATTATTTGGTGTTTTAATTAACGATTTTAATCTGCAAGAATTTCCTCAACAAATGAGTTTTTTCAAGAAAGAATTATCCTTGTAATGGAACAGAAGAACGTATTTGCTTTTTAATACTGTGTATGTATTGTTTTTTCAAAAAAGGAAAGGAAGAAGAGGTGAAAAAAATCCAGTGAAAGCTTCCAAAGAGTTAATAAGAGCAGGAAATTTTATTTGCTGTGCTGTGATGCACCTGCTCAAAAGTGGCTGATACTTTGGGCAGAGCTCAGGGTGACAACTAGGAAATAGAAATTATGTGAGGCTTTGTGTGAGATAGTGTGGGCAACTCACACCAGCTGAGCATAACACAAGGTAAAAAACCAGAACACTGAAATACTACTGAACTGATCTTCAAAAGTCACACATTTATGAATACACCAAAAGTCAACACCAAAGATGCAAAATGAAACAAGTTTATTTTCTGCAATGCCTTCTGTAAATTACAGAGACAAGATGCTAAACTACAGCATATAATTTTTCAATATTTAACCAGAGTACTTGTAATAAATATGCATCCTGAAACAAGATAAAGGCTACACTTTGTCAGGCATCTACAAAATGTCTCAAGTTTTATCATCTGCAGCATTTCTGTGTGGCGAGGGGTGTGGTGAGAATTGTTTTGTATTTTCTTAAGTGCTGTGACAAAAAGTCCTTTCACATTTCTTTGGAGCATTTTTGAAATTGCTTAACTATAATTAAACAACTTAAGAAAAGTAACACCAAGCTTTAAAGCCATTCTTGCTTTGCTGGAGTTGGTCCCCATCCAATACAGATTAACATATCATCCAGTACAGCCAAGCACCCCCTGAGCCCAGGTAGCCCTGTGGTACTCAGGCCCTGTCAGAGCAGGTCCTGCACTTTTGTTAAATACTTTGGCGAGTTCTGTATTCTATTTATCTCCATCAACAAGATTAATGCCATAAGGGAAGCTGCAAGCAAGTTAGAAACATTTTTAACCTGAAGGTAAACTGAACAGAAATATTTTTACCCAAGATCTTTGCTATGTACCATATTATATTAAAATATCAGGATTTTTCATTTCAAAGTTGAAAAACCTATTGGTACTAACAGTCCTTCCAGAAACAATTTATGGGCACTGGTAGAGTTAGGACATTCAAAAATATTCAACGGGTAAGACAAGGATCTACTATATTCAGAAATGCGCTATAATTCTGAGGACACAGTGGCAGAAAATCCTTAGGGGTATTGGTGGCAGCTCATATTAAGTTTGGAATACATAACTACCTTTTGCTATAGCTGAAAACTTTGAGGAAAAAGTTATATTTTTTAAAAGTCTCAAGGATGGTTACCTAAAAAATATTTTGTTAATATAATCTAATGTAATTTCATTTATTTAGGGGTCTAGATATGAAAACATCTTTAAGAGCCAATAAAAATATTACAGAGAAAAAAACACTTTTTAAAAAATTGAGGTTAAGAATTATGAGGCATTTATTTTGGCTGTAAACACACAAGTTTACTGTCCCTTGTTGAAATACAAATGCTTGGATTTCCTGAGCTTCAAGATAACAGCAGGAGGCAAGTTTGCATAGAAATTTGCAATGTCAACAATTTTAAAAAACTGAGAACTTTTGTTTTTAAACTTAATATTTTAGTTAATAGTGCTCATCAACTACTAATAAGCACTATCAATAGTTATCTATTAACTGAAAGATTGATAATCAGAGTGATGGGGTATATAAGGCAGATGGGGGAAGAGATGGAATTAGAGTTTTTAAACCCACAGGATATTATGATAAAGGGTCTTAAGCATGCACTTCATAGCTAGTGCCATACTAATTTGGTTAGAAATTAATTAGAAGCCAAAGGCAAAAAGAGCTCTCCTGTGCTGACTGGCACAGTCCGAATGGAGGAATGGAAGCACCACTCACTGCATGGAGGCCTCATATATCACCCAGTGGTGATGAGGGAGCCCACTTGTCAGCATCAGGACCAGACTTCTGGGCATGGCTGATCCCAGCTCTAGAATCTGAAGGGATGACAAGGACTTTCACCTCTGCTGGTTTGAAGTCTCTAAGCAGTCCTGAGGAAGGTAGTCTTCTTCTGGGACCAGTCCTTAGAGACCTTTGGAAAGGGAAGAAGCTATGCTAGGTCACAATGCATACCACAAATGAGAACAATGGCAGTGGTTGCCAACAACTCTGGATCTAACACAAAGATGGACAGTAAGAGGGAAGTGTCCTGCCAAGGAATCCACTTTTACTTCTTTTGAGACTGGGTTTTACACATGGTGAGGATTTGCTTCAGCACTTTCTGGACATCTTCATCCATCTGGCCCTAGGATATTCCAACAAAAGACATTCATTAGAACCTAAATTAAGTCATGGCACTTTCTCCCCTGGGGAATGAGATGGCTGGCTGGGATAAAGCCTTTGGCTTATTCCTCCATCTTTTAGAGTAATGTCAGTCCTATCAGTTTCCACATTCCTATGAGGAACTAAGTCAAACAGAGTGCCCTGCCCTTACCCATCTGGAGGAGATGAGGTGGCTTCTACCAAAACCCTCAGCAAAGGCTACCTGGGGTCTCAGTTGTGAACGTGAGCCCAGCTAACCAGAACTCCAACCATCACAAAGGCAGTGCTGATGGCTCTGAGAAGATCAGAATGCCTACAGATAAAGCCCAGGTCTCCCCCCCCCATGAAGGACAGCAGCCACACTGTCCTTAATTTCTCAATGAATGATGAGGCTGCTCCTGGTAAGCAAGGCATGAGGCTCCTGATACAGAATCCAAAGTTAAAAAAAAAAAAAAAAAAAAGACACTTTTAAGCTTTCCAGTGAAAAGGATTTTCCTCTAATTCTTGTTTGTTCTGTGAGTTTAATGATGAGACTTTTGGCAACATCTGCTGCTATATTTCTTTAGGATGTCCAGATATATCGTGGGGCATTACCATACCTGCACGGCATACAGAAGATGCATTCTATAAACTGATATGACCTCCTGGTGTTGTTTCTTGCATTCCTAGAAGAGAATATTGACATTATTATATGCTTAGGAGATCTTTAAAGAAGAAAAAAACTAAGAAAATTGTAGTGAAATGCTACCCAAGTGTTTCCCTCACTATATGCTAGCATAGGGTGCTTCTAAAATTGCTTGTGAGCTCACTGACTTGTGAATTTCTGAATGCTTGTCAGTATTAGGAAGAAAAAAACTACCTATTTCATCTTGGTATGCCAACTCTAGAAAACTCATGTAAAAAGGAATTATTATAACCTTGTTTGCTTTACAAATATATATAAATACTTATGCAAATACATTGATACAAAGTAATTACTGCAAGAAATATATCAAATGCAAAAAGTGATTTTCTCAGAGTTATTGAATTACAGGCAATTTATAGTTTTAAAAGTTTTCTGTATTTTTCAACTTTTTTACAATGAACAATTATGTATTAACTTTTAAAATATATATATATATTTTAAGGGAGTTACTGATTACTCACTATTTAACTACTGTTGTATAATCCCCCAGGGAACTCAATTATTTAGCTATCAGTATACCTGGGAGGCAATAGGGTGGTGGCCTCCATCTCAAATAGTTCCTTAGTACAGCTGATGATACCTGCCCTCCCTCCCTTCCTTCCTTTCTTCCTTCTTTTCTTCCTTCTTTTCTTGATGCTTTTATTTCTCCTTGTAGAGCTATTACTCCAGTCTGTCTCAGTGACTGTTTCAAGGATTCAACTTGGCTCTGAACTCTTCTCATTCTAAGAGCTTTTTTTCCTACTTCATCACGAAAATTGAGACTGTTATATATGAATTACCTAAAAAATGTACAAAAGTCCACCAGTACCCATTCTTCCTTCCTATCAGTGTCAGAATATGAGATATCCTTCCTGTTAAAGGACAGCCTTTGGCCGCTAATGGTGACGCTCACACTTGTAATCCCAGCAGTTTGGGGAGGTTGAGGTGAGAGGATTTGCTTGAGCCCAGGAGTTCAAGAACAGCCTACGCAACATAGCAAGACCTCATCTCTACAAAAAAGACAACCTTGGAAACCTCAGTCCTTTGAAGTTCATACCATAAGAAGGTACACTTGGTACCTCCCTTTGTGTTCTCTCCTACCTTTCAGCTGCCCCACTCAATTATTTATGACTTTATCTTCTGATCACTGTCTTCCTTTCCATCTCTATTACTGTCATCATTTAGTTGGCTTCCATATCTGTGTGAATGATCCATCTAACACCTGGACTCTTAAGTTCCTCAACCCCAGCTTTAATAATTTGCTCTTCTTCCTTTCAGCCACTCTTCTCATGGTCACAGCTCTGCCTCTAAACCACTTCTAAAATCTCAGTTGAACACATCCACCCTCTGACCACCATCTCCTATCTTTCCAGCAAACCTGCTTTAGGCTTCCTCAGACCCCTGCTGTGATTCTTCAGCCCCACAAGACACCTATTTACTTACTCACTTCTCTAGCAGTCAGCCTATTACAGTCTACATTCTACCTCTCACTCCAATGAAAAGCTTGCAGAAACCCAAATTCATCAGTATAAGTATATACTGAAGAAGTCAAATGTTCTGTTTTTATATGGAAACTAGAGATAGTCCAGGACAGACTAATCCTTGACTTCATGTGGGAAATGTAGTGTTTCCTTCCCCACTAAAACCGTAACAGACATTGCGGTAGGCTAAACAACGGCCTCCAAAGATGTCCACATCCTAATTCCTAGAAACCTATGAATGTTACCTTATATGGCAAACGGGATTATACAGATGTAATTAAGGATTTTGAGATGAAGAGATTACCTAGGTGGGCTTTAAATGTACTTATGGGGGTCCTTATAAGAGGGAGGAAGGAACATCAAAGGCAGAAGAAGGAGTTGGGAAGACAGAACAGAAGTTGAAGTGCTCTGAAGATAGAAGAAGGGGCCATAAGCCAAGGAATGCAGGTGGCCTCTAGAAGCTGGGAAAGACAAGGAAATAAATACTCTCCTAAAGTCTTGAGAAGGAAGCAGCCCTGCCAACACATTGCCTTTAGCCCAGTAAAGCTGATTTCAGCCTTCTGATTTACAGAACCATAAGATTCTGTTTTTTGATTCTGGTGATTTGTTATAACAGTCCCAGGAAACCAATTAAAATATAAAAGCATTATCCTGGGTGAACTAAGGAGAAGGGCCAAGAGCAGCTTCAATTATGTAGAGAGGCGACTACCAGAGATCCTAGCCCCTGATAAGAAAAAGCTCTTGCCACTGCCAGAGATGAGGAGGCTGTTGCAGACCAAGGTGAAGGGGTGAAGTTAGTAGACAGTGAACAAGCAGCATCTTTCTATTGTTCTGCCGATCTTGTTCTTCCCACTAATACATTAACCCATCTCACCGCAGATAATGACTGGGAATTCCACCAGGGGTTCCCTCTTTTACCCCCATGAAAGAAGTCTTCGATCAATGGCTCACTGAAGTACAACATTCCTTTAGGCTGGGAATCTTTTTGTTCATGCCAACTTGTTCTAGCTGAGTTGGTATGTAATCTGCTCACCCTCTACCCCAAACCAGGCAGTGGAAACAAGCCCACTCACAGCCAGCTGGTTCTGGAGCTGCTTGACCTGCTGCTGTAGCACTTCCAGCTGCTGACTCTGTCTTTTGGATGAGCTTGTTGAGTAGGAGAGCTGTGAGAGGCTGTTCAGAGCCTCCTTCAATTTGCTGACTTCCTTTGACATCTCATTTATCTATTGATAAATGAAAACTATATCAATATGCAATAATGTGACTTCAAAAGCAAGATTCCAGATACTTCTAAGCTTTGAACATAGTCATCTCTTTAGCCTCTGGGACTTGAAACCTTGGAAAAATTCCTTTTTTTATTTTTAAGAAAACTCATAAAATTAGATAACAAAACCAAGTGAACAAACAAAGCCCATTACATCCATTATGTTCAGATACAGGCTCCTGAATTACAGATTGTGTTTTGGTGGATAACAAAAGCTGTAATGTTTTCTCTTTTCTATTCTTAAAAGGGGTGCAATTTTAAAAAATCAGAAATAGGATTTCAGGCATTCGTTATTTGAAGACAACTATGTCTTGTCCAAAATTGCTCATGTGGCCAATCAGGAATACTACCTAGGAGTCTGATATCTCTGTACATTTTGCTTTAAAGTGAACATAACCCCAAATCTCACCCACCACCTTCTAATTCCCCACCCCCTACCAGAGTTCTTTTTGAAACACTCATGAGGCCGGGCTCAGTGGCTCAGCCTGTAATCCCGTGCCTTTGGGAGGCTGAGGTGAGTGGATTGCCTGAGCCCGCGGGTTCGAGACCCGCCTGGGCAGCGAGACCTCATCTCTACAATAAATCAAAAAATCAGCCGGGCGTGGTAATGCATGCCTGTAATTCTGGCTACTTGGAAGGCTGAGGCGGAAGGATCGCCAGAGCCCAGCAGGTCGAGGCTGTGGTGGTCAGGAGCGGTCACTGCACTCCAGTCTGGGCGACAGAGTGAGACTCCAACTCAAAAAAAAAAAAGAAACACTCATGAGAAAAGAATAAAGATAAATAGCTCTCTAAGGAATGCCATTCAGAACCTCTGATACAGGGAACTAGGGATACAGAGCAGATTCAGGTATGGAACCATCCTGGACTTCCCCTTAGTTTCCCTTCTTCCTCCAGCTACATTCAGTGCCATCTCTAATTGCTTGATCCCCACATTCCTTCTTCCCACTCCCATATATCTTTGAAAATGGGGCCAGGGAGGGTAGTTTTTGTACTGACTTGGGGGGAAACTTATGGAGCTTAGGGAAGCAGAATTAAGGAGTATTTGAGTTTGCATATGATAGAGGAATCAGTTCTGGAGTCAAAAAGAGGAGTCTAAGACCTCTTTTTGAGAGTTTGAGATGGACTTTTCAGGTTGTGGGTTCACTTCTGGTCTTCAAAGTGGCAGAGCTTCTGTAAAGTGATTTTTAAAGAATAGGCACAACATATATTAAAATCCTTTAGAATAATGGAAGTGGCAGAAGATAGGTATTTTTTAAAAGGGAAATATCCAACAAACTATTCTTAATGTGGCTTTGGGGACAGATATAGTCATGTGCAGAGTCTCTGAGCACTCACAACAGGTAATTGCCAACAAATGCTATAAATGCTTAACATAGTAAAGGATGAAGGGCCTAGGGCATATTGCTAGAATCTCAACAGCAATACAATTTCACCAACCTTTTTATCTTTATCCTCTTCCAGTTTCGAAGAGCTTTCAGAATATCTTTTCATTTCTGTAAGCTCTTCCTGAGCTTGCTGGAATTTTTGCAGAAGTTCTTTCACTTCTTGCTCTTTGGATTTCAACAGGGTCTGAATATTTTCCTTTTCCCTTTTCACTTGTGAGACCTCACTTCTGATCTGGGCAACCTCTAAATGAACCTTCTCTTTCTCTTTTACTGAATCCTTTAATTTTGATGCCAACACACTCACTTCACTCTCTAAGGATGATTGGAGCTTTTCATAGGAAGACCTGGGTACCATAGCATCAGTCATAGCAGCTTTCTCCTCGAGGAGTTGTTTCTCCAGCTTTGCCACTTCCAGTTCCTTGCTTGCAAGGTGCTCTTTAAGACTGTTGATTTTTTCTTCCATCTCTTTTGCAGTAGTCCGCAGCGTGGTTATCACTTGCAAATGTTCTGTGATAGAGACAGAGTTCTCTTTCTGTGCATCTACCAGTTGTTTAAGCTGGGTCAACTCATTCAACACTTTTGAATACTGAGACTTCATTTCGGACAGTGCATCTTCTGCTTTAGCCCTGGACATATTTGTCGTGTGCATCAATTTCTCATGCTCTGCTTTATGGATGTATTCGGTTGTAACATCCTCTAGAGATTTCCTCTTCCTATAATCCTCCAGCTCAGCCTGGGCTTCTTTGTACAGATGCGACAGCTCACTCACCTGTTTATTAAGTTCATCTATCATCCTGTTCATGGCTTCTTTCATGTCCCCAGCTTCATCACTGGCTTCCTGTGCCATCTGACTCTTTAATGTGTCTTTTAATTTCATGATTTCTTCTTGAGCCTCCTGGTATTTCTCAAACAAAAATGCTTTCTCTTTATTCATATTCTCAATAACAGAGCAATATGAGCTTTTCATTTCCTCATACTCTTCCGCAGGTGGCTTAATCACTACACCCTTCTCCCTCTCTAAAAGTTTTTCCTCTAACTCTCTCACTTTCTCTTTATTTCTTTCACTTTCTTCCAATGCATTCTGCAGATCCTGCTTTAGCACATCTATTTCCTCTTCAGTGACCCTCAGCTCACGAAGATGAGAATAACTATCCACGCTCTCAGTCAAGACAAGACCCAGTTTCATCTGCTTCTGCACACTGAGGACTTCTTTCATGGCCTCCTCGTATTTGCTCTGAGTTTCTTTAAGTTTCTGGCTGAGGTCAGAGCCATTCTCTGAAATCTCGGTGTTGTTTAAGCACACCAGTTCTGTCCTTTGGGACTGAAGCTCGGCCTGTAGCTGTTTCCTCTCTGCTTCAGAGCTCTCCAATCTCTTCTGCAAATCTTGTAAAATCTCTTGTAGTTGCTGAATTCTGACATCACTGTCAATAGTGGGTTTACCTAAGGAATGTGTTAAGGCAGATGGAGATGATTTGGAGTCTGGGAGAGAGGTTTCACTAGGTTTGCCCAGGGATGGGGCCAAGTCAGTTTGGGTGGAATGGTATGAGTCAAAGCTTAGATCTGCTTCTGCCTCCTTGGGTGATTTGGCCTAGGGAAAAAAGCAAGAATTAAATGGCACCAAAGGTGTGGTCAGATGTGCAAACAACTGGAACAAGAGGAACTAAATCCAAAGCTTAGGTATGGTATGGGAGAACACACAATCATTCTGCATTGTGCTCATGAACCACAAAAAAAATAATAGTCTGGAAAAAGAGAGTTATTAATGACACAAAGCTTACTCAGCACTATTAGGACAATTTGTGTCACTTTAAAAGCACTAGAATTGTTTTGCCTGCCAAACCTGATTCAAATTTTTCCTTTGTTTCTCATATCATTCTACTTGCCAAGAAGGGCAATGGGCATAGTACAGCTATTTGTTATCAAGTTCTCAAATCTGTTAAATGATCCATTTTAAATGAATGGCTAATATTTAAATATGTATATTTATACACACACACAATATAAAATATAAAATTTTACTGTATATAGAAAACTAAAATAATTATACATTATCATATGTAAGTATATGTATATAATGTGTATTTATATAAAATGTATTTTTATAGTTTATTAAAATATATAATTGCATATTATATATACTACATACATAGTTATTCAATTTACAGAGTTAATGAATAACACTCTTAAGAAATAAATAATTTAAAACTATAAGATGCCTAAAGCTCACATTTATAAAGAAGGGACTGATGTAGATATTTAAGACAAAATACATCTGCCCACTCCTGAAAAATCCAATAGCTTAACTCCACAGAATAGTCAGTGGTAGCATCTATTTACCTACCTGTAATTTATCCTGTAACTCCTTATTATGTAAGGTAAGGGAAGCAACTTTTGCTTGCAATAGGACAAGAAGATCTTGTTGGTCAGCTTCCGAACTTATATCCAATAAGCTATCCGCACCTTGGAAAAGAGAAAGGCAATTTAAAATATTACAAAATTAAACTTTTATTTCTCTAACTTCTAACAAACCACCTTTTAGTTTAATCTAACTTTTTCTTTCTGATCCTGTCTATAAAACCTCTACCAGTTGGACAGATAAACTGCAACATTCAGGTACTGGGGTTTCCTTAATATGGTATTCCTAGCATAATACTAGAAATGTGTATATAAGCTGATTCTGAAAACTGATGTCTTTGGTCATACATTTTCCATTCACTTGATTAAGTGTCATATCTTGGTTGGTTTTGGTTCCTCCTTGTGCCTCCTAAATCCCAGTTCTGTGAATCCTATCCTTTTAAAAACATCTTTGGAATCTGGTTAATTTCTTATCCCTACCACTATTACTCTTGTTCTGAGTTTATCACCTTTCTTGGAAACTGCAAATGGTTTCCTAACAAATCTCTGCTTCTCTCCTCTCCACAGTAAAAATGTAGCCTACACAGCAATGTCAGACTGATTTTCCTAAAACATACTTTGATTGGGTGATTCCTTTGGTTCAAATGCTTTAATTGTTTTCCCTCCAAAAATAACCTCCAAATTTCTTTGTTAGTGCTCTGGCACAGTCTACTTTTTCGAGTTTATGACTCACTAAATTTCATAGATTTCCATTTCCCTCAGATTCATGGCTCCCATCCTATGCCTCCATATTATCAACACACAGCTTATTTCTTTCATTCTTTACCCATAGGACTGCCCTGAGGCATCTCTCTGCCTAGAGAACTCTTGGGCAAGAGTTCCTTCAATACCTCTTTAAGACCCATATCAAACTCTGTCTCCTCCTTCAAGCATTCACTGATCACCCTGCAGAAGAAACAATCTTCTCTTTTTTGAATCCCACAGTAATCACCCCACTTTTTGACATCCTACTGATTACCAAGCTGAAATGGCATCTAAAGTAGTACATCACTGAAATGACACAAGAAACTTCTTCCAGAATGCAATGCAATATACTGCTTCCTTCATACAGAAAGTCTTCCTATGAAAAGTGTTAGCCACACAAAACAGTATGCTTAGTGACATAGCTAGATGAATTTCTGTAGCAAACTCCTTAATTACTGCAGACTGGCAATATTTTCTTACAAACCATACTCTGAATAGCACTGATTAAATTTTTTCCTGCTATGCTTTTTATTTTTGCACAGTCATTTAATGCAGAGATGAAAACTTTAATTTCAGTTTGGAAGGATGCAAAATGACATTTACTCATAGAAATGCTTGCTTCTGATAAGGCACTATTCTGATGTTTACTGCCTAAGTCATAGTCTTCTGAGTCTTCTTGGCATGAAGTCTGATGCGTGTGGAAGGAACCAGGTAATTGGGAGCATGACTGTGATTCTAAGCAATAGAAATTACCTCCAAGATACAATGGCTGATTTTAAAAGTATCCAACATAACACTTGTTCAATTACATTAATATTGATCTCTGCCAGAAATTAGAATGTTTGTTATTTCTAAATTCTGCAAATTAAAGTCTCCAAAAAACACATTAAATACATAATAAACTAAGAAACTGAATACTAGAGCAAAAATGGGTTTTTGAAATAATTTATTCTACATTTAAAATTGATTCTGAAGATACTAGACTACATTCTTAGAGGGTAAATTCTTAGGAGGAACTCTTTTTTTTTTTTGACTTGGAGTCTCACTCTGTCGCCTAGACTGGAGTGCAGTGGCCGCTCCTGGCCACTGCAGCCTCGACCTGCTGGGCTCCGGCGATCCTTCCGCCTCAGTCTTCCGAGTAGCTAGAATTACAGGCATACGCTACCACGCCCGGCTGATTTTTTTATTTGTTGTAGAGATGAGGTCTCACCAAGTTGCCCAGGTGGGTCTCGAACCCACGGGCTCAGGCAATCCACTCACCTTGGCCTCCCAAAGTGCTGGGATTACAGACTGAGCCACCGAGCCAGGCCAGGAGGAACTCTTAAGAGATAACAATGAATGAAACCTTATCTTGGTGAAGATAATAGGTGTATGATTTCATTAGCACTTTGTCTTTCCATGTGTCTACTTAAAATCCATAGTAGAAAAATTAGATTGGGACAGCCATGAAGGTGCACAGTGGGTTCTCCCTTCATGAAATAATGAGTTGCTCAGTTGCAACGAGTGCAGCTGGAAGCCACGACCTCATCTCAAAGTAATGTTTTTAAATGCATAAGATAAAATATACAGGCACAGTAATTTAAGAGCTTGTTTTGTTATTGTTGTTATTGTTGAGTTGCAGTCACACTCTGTCACCCAGGCTGGAGTGCAGTGGCACAATGAAGCCTCACCGTAGTCTTGACCTTCTGGGCTAGGGGCAATCTTTCTGCCTCAGCTTCCCAAGTAGCTGAGACTACTTGGGAAGTATGCCAACACCCAGCTAATATTTTGATTTTTTGTAGAGATGAGATCTCACTGTGTTGCCTAAGCTGGTCTTGCACTTAAGCAATCCCCCTGCCTTGGTCTCGTAAAGTGCTGGGATTACAGGTGTGGACCACTGTACCAAGAATTTATTTTGTAACATCAAATAACAAGATCTAGCATCAGATCTAATAAGTGCCATAAGTTTTAGTAGAGATACTGTAAGTGATATTTCAAGGTATCTGCATTATAATATGGTAATAGGAATTCTCTCAGTGACAAAGTCACTGGTCTGCTAATATCACTGGGTTCATTGCCTATATTCATAATGGAAGAAAATGCTAACATTTAGTTATGAACAAATGAAAATAGAGATGTATATTTTCCCATCCAAATTCAGAGACTCTGTAAAATCCAGGTTAAGGTACCCTGAAGTACAGGGAATGTCTTCCTGTACATTTCTGGCAGTTCTGTGAAGACATGCTGGTTTCGACCTCCCCACACAGAGTGCCTCAGCCTGACCTCGGCTTCCTTTATATGAACATAAAATAAAGTTTGGTCAAAATAACAAAAACAAGTGCTTCCTTATCTTACCTGTAGTACTGTCACTTAGTCTGTCTTTGTTTTCTTGTATAGAACTGATCTCAGCCTATTGAAACAGAAAAATGACTTGAAAGAATGTTTCTAAATGTAACATTGCAGAGAAAAATTAAGCAGATTTTTCTCTTTGAGTTTCTACAGAGTAGAATCAGTATTATCCTATGAGAAAGGCAGCTAGAAAATCTCAAGGAAAGAAAATACTTTGAGAAATAAGTGAATAAAAGTGATAATTATCTACTAAGGTATAATTTCTAAAACATTAGCTCCAGGGGGTATATTCTCAAAATATCTTTCAGAAATCTCATATAATGAGTACAAGAAAATATACTTAATTTATAATAATTTTATGTAATAGCTAATTTACTGGTCTGTGTTCTAAAACTTGAGATGGCAAATACTATTTTCATAATGAAGTCAAAACAAGTTCTATCTGTATTATACATAGATTAAAATAGTTTAAAGCAGATTTTCTTAGCTTTATCATTTTATAAATTATCTGCTATTAATATGTCATTATTAATCTTTCTAAGATAAATGGTAATAAATAAGACCTGTCAGGAAAGATAAGGATACTTTTATAAGAGAATGAAATTCATATAGCCTTGGATTGGCAATTGAGTCCCTAAAGATATTCTCTAATCTTTTGTCCCTGAATATCTGTTCATAAAAATACTGCAAAATTCTTGGAACTTTAAAGTCACACTCTCATTTCAAAACACTATAGTGACTTGCCAGAAATTACTGTTTCATCTAGCTAAGCCGCAGACAATGGTAAGAGATACAATTTTTCAGCAAAGAAACCTTTGTAAAAGCCCAAATGCTAAAACTCAGTGGCTTATTTTTGGAAAGTGTTCATCTTTAAAAAAGCAACCCTTTCATTTTGATAAAAATGTACTTTTTTAAAGTATAATAAGCTTCATCCATTTAAAGTTTACAATTTGAGGATGTATTGATGGATGTCTGCTGATGGAACTATCACTAGAGTCAAGTCCATTATCCCTAAAAGTCTCTTCATGCCTTATCACAACCAGTCCTTGCCTACTCCATTCCAGGTAACTATGACTTTTCTTTTTGCATTTTCTAGGATTCCTATAAGTGGAATGTCATTCGGTATAAGCTTTTTTTGTGGCTGGCTTCTTTCACTCAGCATGACAATTTTTCAGATTCCCCTGTGATGTTACTTATGCTGTAGTTCATTTTTTTTTTATTCATTGTATAGATATATTTCATTACTTTTATCCGCTTACTTATTGATGATCCACTCACATTTTGATTGTTTCCCATGTGGATGTTATAAATAAAGCTGCTATAAACAGCTGTGTATAATAAGATTTAGTGTAGATATGTATTTTCATTTCTCTTGGGTGAGCACCTATGAGTGGATTGCTGGGTCACATAGGGATATGTTTAACTTTGAAAGAAACTTTATTTTCCAAAGTAGCTATACTATTTTACATTCCCACCAACAGGATATGAGAGTCTTGCTTATTCAACATACTAACGTGATACTTTTAGTCATTTTAAACTTTAGCCATTCTAAATCTGTCACTTTTTATCTTGTTTTCTGTTTGTTGGTTACAAAATGACAGTCTTTTATACTCTATTTCTAATCACAAAGCATAATTTGTGATATTATTCTTTGGACTACATTACTTCCTTTGAGCCACGGTCATATTAGAAGATATTAGGATATTAATTATATGAGTGTAACTTCCTTGCCTTGTCTTGTATAGGAATTCATTTTAAGAGTTTAATAAAGTCTAAAGTGAGGGAAATGATAGATTGATAAACTTTTTTTAAGATCAATTTGCATCCAAGTTAAAACATCCTTAGTAATTCTTAGATGAGGGAAAGTAAATACACAATTATACAATTGAAATTTTATTTTAACAATTATAAATTTTATTTCATCCTGAATATAATTTCTTAGTAACTGCTATAAAAACAGATGTTAAATGCAAATATCTTTCCATTTTCTTATAATACTTTCCAACCGCAAATCTACAGAACCAGGTGGAATAAGCACTAATGGATTTTCTAAAATTTCTAAAATAAATGCATATTACTCTTATAGTCAGAAAAGTTTAATCAAATATACAATTACTTGTTAGTAAGACAACAGAAAATAATAAAAGTTTCTACTTCTTTGGCATTATATCAACTCAATTTGGTAGAAGACTATCAGTTATTATTTTTGCCTCTTTAAAATTTTTTTAAATATACTTTTTATTTGAGACAATTTAAGGTTTATAAAAAAGTTGCAATATAGAACCTATCACTCAGTTTCCCCTAATGTTAACAACTTATGTAGCCATGATATATTTGTGAAAATGAAGATATTAACATTGGTAAATTACTATTAACTAAATTATAGACTTTATTCAGATTGCACCTATTTTTCCAATAATGTCCTTTTTCTGTCCCAGGATCCAATCCAGGATACCACATTGTATATAGAGAATTTTCTGAAATATAATTTTTGCCATTTCCTAAACAATACATATTCAGGAAAAAAATGACAGAAGTGACTACCAGTCAGCAACTGGCAACTTCCCCAACTTATTTATTTTTAAATAAATTATTTTTTAAATAGACAAAAAATACATATTTATCATGTACATCATGATGTTTTGAAATATGTACATACAACTATAATGGCTAAATAGAACTAATTAACATATGCATTACCTCACATACTTATCAGTTTCTGTGATGAGAACACTTAAAATATACTCTCTTAGTAATTTTTAAGACTATAATATATCACTATTAAGTATAGTCCCATGTTGTACTTTAGGTCCCTTGAACTTATTCCTTTTATCTAACAGAAATATTATGTCCTTTGACCAACACTTCTCCAACCACCCCCTTGCTCCCCTAACCACCAGTCTACTCTGCTTCTATAAGTTCAACAATTTTAGATTTCATACATAAATGAACTGTCTCTTTCTTTTAAATGAAAAAAATTAATTACTGGTTAGTAAATATAATTTATTCATCCTATTCTTTTTCAAAAAATATAATTATTATGAATACATACTAGTTGTACATATTTATGGGGCACCCTATTTTTGTTTTGTGGGGTCCATGCCAGGAAAAAAAATCGGTGTCCTTCAGGGTGAAAAGTTTGTAAATCAATGATTCAGAAGTATATTATATTTTGGCCAGTATTATATAACTTAAAGTAAGTGTATCATGCATCTCAAAATACAGTAACAAAATTGAACACAAAATGGAAATACCTTAAAGGGTGGTTCAGCAAAAAATACTGATTCCTTTCCCGAAAGTGGGGTTGAAGTTATTGATCTTGGAGAAGACACATCACTCAACTAAAAAAACAAAATGAAAACCACCAATATAGAATGTATCTTCAAAGTCTTTTCCTCTTCAATGCCAAACAATCAACCTGTTTAACTGATGTAATTATATCTAACAGTAAGTATCTTTAGCTTCAATTAATTCAAGGGTAACATAGTTTCAGAGCAAGTCAGCTACTTCAAATACTTTTTGAAAATTTGCAGAGTATAACTAAGTAACTTTGCTCCTATATTCATTAGAACCAATTTTTTTAATTGATAAAACTTCTATTACAGGTTAAGAATATTAACAAACATAGTAACATCTATTTAAAGTTACTTATCACATAAGATATTTCTCTCTACTACTTAAATATGGACTCTATGGCCTGTAAATTTTTAAATAACAAATCCCAGTCTGTTTTTATTTGCCAGTTCATAGACTTCTGAGATTCCTCTGATATGCAGTAGTCACTATATGCTCAGATATGAAAACTGCTTTTATTATTAGCCAACCTTAAATATAATTAGAAAGGGAAATATATTTTAGCAATGTTTTAAGAAACCAAATGAAATTCATTTTCAACTAAATGCCTCACTAGCTACTAATTCTCCCATTCCCTACCAGAGCTTTTAATATAAGGAACTAAAAATAAACTAAACTTATTATCTTAAGGAAAAAGTTTCTGTGATATTTTGAGAAATTTCCTTTAAGCTTTAAAAAAAAAAATACTGTTCAATCTACAGTTTTAAAATAGATAAGAATCAACATTATTTCCATAGTAATAATCAAAATCCTTCTTACCACAATCTGTCATTTAAAACCGACAAGGAAAATTTTAGATGTGCACTTAAGGGTCATCCTAAAACATTTACTTTTGACCTAAACTCGAAATGACAAAATTAAGGCTTTGTTGTTATATGTTGTTGATTGTTGGTTCGCTTTTGTTTTTACCTGAGTAGGACTGATAGGAGGTGGTGGAGCTTTGCGTTTTTTTGGAGTTCCACTTCTTTCTGAGCTTATTTTAGAGACTTGATCATGCTGAAAGTTATCACAGTCCAAAGAATGGAGGTGGGTTAGTTAGGTTAGTAAAGTATGAGCAAGTAGCTTCATCAAACAAATGAGAAAAACCTCAAAAGTTCATGCATTTCTTACTTTATCAAAATCTGAAATCTGTTACCAATATAAAAATAAATAATATGCATGCGCCAAGTTTTCTTCTAATAGCCCATGCCTTAATAGCAAGAAAACAAAAACACATAAGACAAAATCAGATTAAGTTGGTAGGAGAAATGGAAAAGTAGAGGTTGAGGAGTTGTCTACCACAATTTAAAACTTGGAGAACATTCATAGTAAGCTTTCTGTCTTAATGAAAAGTAGCGGTATTTTCCACACCTCTGCATTACTTCCATTCCTTTTAAAAAATAATGTAAATAAGAGGAAAATAGGGGAACCTCATATCTGAAGTTTACTAATGAATAAGTAATATAGCATATCATAAATTCAGTATTAAGTATTTGCCTTTTATGATTTCTTCAAGACCCTGATGTATGCATAAACAAATATAACAAACATACATCTCTTCATCCAAAACAGATAGTGATTTCGTTTTTAGAAAAAAACTTCTCAGTTTCTACTTTGTATAACAATAGATGACATTTTAGAAAAACCTCAATTAAAAGAAAAAGCTAAATTATCTTATTGTCATTAAATATCTAACATTTTCATGGCTGTAGGTTTGTAGTTCATGGAATATTACAAGTATTTAAAATGTTGTTATTCAGTCTCAGAGTTTAAGCCACATCAAACATTTTCACACTAATAGGAAGTATTAGTACATTTCAGAAAAAGAGGAATATATAGGTAGCAAGTTTAAAGTTCCATGCTTCTGAAACAAAGTGAATTATTATGAAAACATTTACCTCCTTATAACAATAAATCATGTATTATAAAGATATTTCAGTCCTTCAATATTTTTTGTAGAGTCTTTATCACTTTACTAGTAGACCACAGAGTGGCTTAATCTGAACATTTTCAAATTCCAACAAACAAAAATTTAAAAAATAAACCCCCCCAAAAAAGATAAATACCTGCTTTGGTTTTGTTGGGGTCTTTAAATCTATAGAGGAAAAAGTGAAACAAAGAACTATAAGAATGATAATGAACCATATCCACTTTGCATTGGGGGATATACACACACACACAAACACACACAATATTTAACACTTCATTGTTCTTCAAGAATATGTTTAAAAGAATAATAAAATATATCATATTCCACACATTCTTTTATTCTTTGGGGAAAATGGAGTGGATAAATTTAAAACAACATTGGCTATTTTCTTTCACATACCAGCATCCTGAGAGATTTTTGATAATAGAAGGCTTTGAATTCCTGCATTTTCTGAGAGTTTGGAATAATGTAAGGCATTGTGTCCAAGAGAATCTACAAGATTTAGGTCTGCACCCTTTTTAATTAAGGCTTCCACGATGTTAGAGCTGCCAATCTCACAAGCCAGCATGAGAGCAGTTCTAAAAAAAAAAAAACAAAAAAAAAGGTTGGGGGTGAGACACAAAATTCAGTACTAACAAAAAATGAAAATTTTTTTCTTGGGAAATCATTTGTCTTGAAAACATGGAAAGGAAGATTAAATGCAGTTAAACCTTTATTACACTTAATCTTCTGGGGAATTTGAAGTGGAATGCTGTCGAGATGAAATTAGGTGGTTTTTTTTTTTTTAACAACTTCAGATTAAATCAAAACATTACACCATATTTAGTCAAACAACATAGACATAATCTTTTGTACTATTTGGCATATATATGAAGGAATTTAATATGATTGGCACAAATCTTATCCATCTCTCACCTCAAGCATTTAAAAGAACAAATACATTGCTAGGCCTGTTTTTCAAAAGCAACCAATATGTTTACTATTATTTTGCATGAAAAGTCACAGGAAATGACTTAGCTACCTTAGCATTTAATAGTCTCATCATAGACTTAGTCAGCAGTGATGCCCACAGAAGTCTGGGAAAATTTGTTTCTAAGTCAACAAAGATTTTTAGTTATCAAAAAGGTAGACAATTAAAAAGGTAAGAAGTCAAAAACCACTTTATAACAAATGATCCAAAATATGGCTGTGATATTTTTGAAAGCCTCTCAGAATGTGGGTATCCCTGATGTTGCATGATTTCTGCCTAATTCTGCAGTACCTTCCACTTTTGTCCCTAGAATTGACATCTGCTCCATGATCCAGGAGAAAGTGACAGACCTCACTGTGGCCATTCTGCACCGCAAGAAGCAGTGGTATGTTCCCATCCTAGGAGATAAACTCAGATTTAGATTTTAACTCACACACCAAATGCCAGAATTGCAAGAGCTGACCCTCAGTCTTTCCACATTTTTTTGTACTGCTGGTCAACGCTGATCCATCATGACATTCTGTGCCCCTGTACGGCCACCTCTGCAGGTTGGCACAACTCTTCTTTATGGGATGTCATTGACTGCTAGCTTTTTCCTAGAAACCTCAGCCTCTTGGGCTTCTTGCTCCTTTGGCTATTACTGTTTGGATAATAATATGAGAGAGAGTAATAATATGAGAGAGAGTAGAACACAAAGTGTGCAAAGGCTCAAAGCAAGTAGACCATGTGTATTGAGGGATGGTATTAGAGACAGGGAAAACGTGTTTCCATGTGGCAGCAGGAAGTCCCACTGCCCTGTAAGCAGCTTCTTCCCACGGAACTAAGTAAATCCTGCCATTCCATTCCTCTCTTCCTGGAAAGCATACTCTCTCTAGTAATTTTATTAGGTATCAAAACATAACATAATTGTCTTTTTGTGTATTACGAACACATTGACTAGATAAAGAGAGGGACAGCATTGTTTAATATGTCATGACGATTGGCAATCCCCTTGGAAAAAAAGAAAATTAGATCTCCAACTCGTATACAAACTATATAAGGGCAATTAAGAATGCAAACATTATAATATAAAACAAAATAAGAAATACTAGAAGAATATGAGTATTTTCCATAATCTTAGGCCTGACATAAATAGCACAAGCCATAAGAAAACTGTTATTTTGCTTTTTTCTGGAATATACACCACAAATTGGTTGACAGAAAGTTTTAAAATAGAAGCATTCAAATAGACAAAGGGAAAAGATACCTTACCATATATTCAGCAATTTCTAAATGAGGATTTAAAAAAATACAATTGCGACCGGGCTCGGTGGCTCAGCCTGTAATCCCGCGCTTTGGGAGGCCGAGGTGAGTGAATTGCCTGAGCCCACGGGTTCGAGACCCGCCTGGGCAATTTGGCAAGACCTCATCTCTACAATAAATCAAAAATTAGCCGGGCATGGTAGTGCTCGCCTGTAGTTCCAGCTACTTGGAAGGCTGAGGCGGGAGGATCACCGGAGCCCAGCAGGTCGAGGCTGCAGTGGCGGGGAGCGGCCACTGCACTCCAGTCTGGGTGACAGAGTGAGACTCCAACGCAAAAAAAAAAAAAATACAATTGCTTCTTAAAGATTAAGTCTTGTCTGAATTTCAGACTGATGTTTAGGCTTTAACTCTATGAAGTTATAATACTTTCTGTTTATGAAGTACTGCGATTCAGGGAGTATGAATTTGTTTACAGACTCTATCCAGTCAATTCACAGCATCTCCATTGGGTATAGGTACATGCATGTCAATTCTCATGATGCAACATGAAATTTAACCCTGTAACTATGTGCTATAGGCATATTAAGTTTATCCTCAAAATAGGTCAGTGAGGTTAAAATGGGCTAAGCAGCAATCTTCAAAGATGGGAAATTCTAACCAGAAAGTCTCCAAGGTGATACACAGGGTGTAGAAAGAAAATATTAAAATTGCTATTTAGACTTAACTTTTATTTTTAAAAATCAAGAAATTAAACTTTATTTATATTTAGGTTGATGGCGGAACAACCATATATCCTTACAAACAAATATACATATATAGGAAGAGCATGCTGAAATGTTTTATTAATACTTTAGGACGAATGAGGGATAACGTATAAATCCACTTTGCAAAAGAGGATTTAGGTTGGAAAGCACCAGCATTTTGCCAACTATTTAGGTGTCTCCAGTCTTAGTAACCCTAGAGGTATCCCACTGTGCTCTAGAAACCAGTGTCTGTCTCTCTCTTTAGTGACCACCTGGTACTTACCAAATCCTTGAGGTTTATGGGGCTCTTGTGCTCACAGAGAACCTGCACAGCCTGAAGGCAGCCCTGTGCCGCTAAGGGAAGGAAAACACAAACACCACAGTTAATCACTAAGAACTCTCACAACCTGGGACTTCCAACACTTCTAGGAAGGAGAAGTTCAAGTTCTACACAGTCTGCTTATCTTACTCCAGTTGCACTGAAGAGAAATGGAATTAGGAAGGTGAAGTATAAGGTGCTTTTAATTACTGCTTAACTTCAGTTATGCAGGCATAAACCCAGTGACTATCACTTGCCTTTAGGCACACATCTGGTCCAGTTTTTCATGGGACTTAGCTTTTCCACAGCTCACAATAGAAGAAATCTGTCAATCTAATCACCCAAAGTTCAGTGTCAATGTTTGTCATTTGAAGCTGTGTGACATTACTAAAATAAAATGTTGCGGAGCAGGGTGGCTCATGCCTATAATCCCAACACTTTGGAAGAAAGAGGCAGAAGAATCACTTGAGCCCAGGAGCTCGAGACAAGCTTGGCAAAACAGCTAAATCTCGTCTCTTAAAAAAAAAAGCTGAGCATGGTGGCATACACCTGTAGTCCCAGCTAGGCAGGAGGCTGAGACAGAAGGATCACATGAGCCCAGAATGTTGAAGCTTCGGTGAGCCATGATCATGCCACTGCACTCCAGGGTGACAGAGGAAGACTGACAAAACAAAACAAAACAAAACAAAACAAAATGTTGATAAATAAAATTGATTGATGTTCATAATGTTTAAAAAGAAATCTTAAACTAGTTAAAATACATTAATCATGATCATTGTCTCTGGGCAGCAGGCAATTAATGAATTCTAGGTACACTCCTTGGCACAACTTTACATGTTTTACAAACTGAGTAAAACAAGAATGTCTAGAAATGATGACAGAAGACACCATTAGGAATAGTATGGTAAGGTTAATGGTTTGAATAAAGAAAATCAAAAGATAGTGTTTCTCGTGGCAGAAGAAGACCAAAAAAAAAAAGGATGAGAGTTACCTGCATAATGTAAAGCTGTCTTCCCAGAGCTATCAATATTTTCAGCTGGGCATTTAGACTATAAGACAAAAATAAATACACACATAATAAAATATCCCACACCAATTCTATTCAGTTCATCTTTTCCTGCTGTGTATGATGTGACATATTAGGAAGACTATACATTTAAATTGGTCTAAATTGCTGTGCTCTGGGACCCACAATCTCTTATGGGGAGGGAGATTTACCTCTTACAGGACAGGCAAACTACCTGCTTTGCTGCCTGGCCTGTCTGATCCTCCCCCTTACATCAGCACTCCAGGATCCCACTAGCTAACAAACATGCTCTAAGACCTCTCATCTTGATCCCAGATTTTCCCCCATCTCTTGTCCTATTTTTGTCCCCCTTCAAAAAACCAGCTTTCTCTTAAGAATCACAGGCCATACTTCCTTGCCACCATTCACCCTTGAACTCACCGGAGTTGGATGTCTGCCCTCAAGACGCTAAAGAGATGGCCTTGGTAAAGGTCGCCAGCAACCTTCATGTTTCCAGTGGCAATGAACAGTTTGTTCTCACCTTACCAGCCTCTTAGTTGCAACTGACTCTCCCTTGTCCAGAATTCATCCTCTCAGTTCCTAGAGCCCTGTCCGTTCCAGTTTTCCTTCCACTGCTATGGCCACCCTCTTCCTCTAAGTTCTCTTCCTTAGTGAGCTCATCCACAGCTTGGAACACTATCTAGAAGTCTAGAAGCTAGTGACTCCCAAATGTAGATCTTAACAGTTGCAACAATAATAAGCATTATGTAAGTTTTAGCTACCTTGTGTGCCAGGTACTGTTCAAAGAATTGTGTTAAAGCTCCTAACAACCCTAGTTAGACACTATTATTAGCACATTTTCAGATGAGAAAACTGAGACACAAAGAAGTTGATAATTTGCCCAGGTAGCAGTAAATGGCTGAGCTGGGATTTAAACCCAGACAGACTGGGTTAGCACCTGTGTTCCTATTCATATATGACAGCTGTCATCTCCAGGCACTAAGCTGATAACCCACTGCCTACCTCACATCTTTGCTCTGATGTCTTATAAGCACCTCAAACACAGCCCAGCCAAAACCTCTGGCATCCCTTCACCCTTACCCAGGTTGCTCCTCCCAGACTCTTGACCATTTCAGTCAACAGCAGCATCATCCATCTAGTCAACGAGCCACAAAACTGTGAGCTATCTTTGGTTTATTTTCCTCCCTCTCCCACATCTAATCTACCATGTCCTGTCAATTCTTTCTCCAAAAGATGCCTCCAATCTACCCTCTCATCTTTCTCATTACCAGCATCCTAGTCTAAGTCAGCACCTTCCCAACTAGACAGCCAAGGTAGCCTCATGGTGGGTCTGCCCAGTTCTGCTTTTTTTCCTCTCCTTTTAATCAATTCTCTATACAACTAGAATGATCTTTTTTACAACTGTAAATGTCACTGTCCACTTAAAAGTTTCATGCTATATTTGGGATGAACTGTTATGACATACACGGCCTTGCATTTTGTGCCATTTTTCCTCCACATTGGCTTTGCCTCAGGTCCTCACCAGGACTTTTCCTACCTCAGGCCCTTTGCACTTGCTGTTCCACTGGCTTAGACTGCCTTCCCCTTGGCTCTTTGCATCATTGGGAGTCTCAGCTTAAATACCACCTCCTCCATGAGGTCTTCCCTGAACCTCTACCTCTTATAGTAACCTGTTAGATTCCTTCTTAATGCTGTGCCATGTGTAATGTTTATGTGTGTACTTGTTTGCCAGACTGTGAGCTTCACCAGTATAGAGGCTGATCTGTGGGTCAGAATATACTCAATGCTTGATATAGTGCATGTTGCCCAGGAAACAACCTGGTATAAGAAAGGGTGGGAAGTGATCAGGGGAGGGAGAGAGCTCATTGAATCCAAAGACTCTCATGAGACTGTCTTTGTGCTCATTGCCTTGAAGAGGAAGAAGTTTAAATTAGAGGTCACTGAAGCCGGAATATGTCTCCACCAGATACAGAGTAAGAGCAAAGGCCTAGGGAGCCCAGAGAGATGAGCAGATGCAGAGGTTAAGGATTGAAGGGAAGCAGGAAATAATGAAGTTATATCACAGAGAACCTGGGTTGCTGAGACAAGAGGTAAAGAACTGACTAAAGAGTAGAGAGGTGGAGGACTCCAGGAAAGCAACCTCTAGGACATGAGAAGCAGAGGTTTTAACAACTATCCAGAAAGAAGAACAATTTGGATAGTCTGGAAGGTAGAGGAGGTAAGAAAAGGCTACCTTAGCGTGAAATGTCTGCCCTTCAATGGTAAAAAGAATGGAGATCAAGTTATGACTTCCCATGCTTTGGCCTAATTTTAGAACAGCACAAGGAACTGTTTAAAGGCTTCAAAGGTTGCAGAGAAAAACCAATCCATTTGCATAACCAGATATAAAATTACATTCGAGGCTAGAATATCTGGTTCTTGCCCACAAGGATATCCAGCTTGTCAGGTTAATTCTTCCTTAAAATCAGAGCCAGATGCAAAATCTGGATAGCCACTCCAGGATGGAAATGGAGATTTAAAACATAAATAAATTTTTAAAAAGAGAGAGAGAGACAGGGCCAATGGTATAGAGGAGGGGCAAGTCGATGATTTTCATGTATCCACAGTGCCTCGTCCCAGAGGAGGCAGGTAAGAAAAGTTCTATTTTAGTTGTCTTCAAGGAGAAGACTTATAACGCAACATCACAGACATTGATCTATTTTTCTTAATGTTGCTTCAAAGACCTGTTAAGGTTAAGCATTCCTGGAATTGGCAGTAGCTTGCATCATGTAATGCAAGACAAGAAGCTGTGTGATCAACAGAGCAGGACAAGTTGAAGAATGTGACCACATCTCTGCATTAGAATTTCAAAGCCAAATTAAAGCAAGATGCTGAGTCCCAAAACAGTACTTGTGAAGGCTGAGACAACAGCTCCACAGAACAGACGGTATTCCAAACACGTATTTTATTGCTCTGTGATGTTCTTGAAAATAGCCAGCTTGCATTCTGACTGGCAACAGCAGATGATACTGTATGGACTGCTATTGGGAGTTCATTAAATATACATCTTTAAAGATTTATGGAAGTCATCATCTTAGGGGATCATTATAAACTTCCTGGCGAGGTTATCAAACCAGGGAATTGACTTAAAATTATAAAGAAGAATAAAACCAAGAACTAAAAGCTCACCAAGTGACATACAAGGGGAAAAAATGGTTGAAATTTTGCTTCTCAAGAAGAGCTGCATTCTACTAATGATTTAAAGAGATATTGGAGATCCTTCTTTGGAAACAGATGTTTAACAAACTGACTACTTAGAGGGTTTTAAGTCCTTCAGAGAAGAAAACGAAGATCCAAATAAGGGGAGAGAAAAAAGGTTGGATCCAAGAAAGACACTCCAAATTTTGATGAGGATCCTCTACTCTGCCAGTGGAGTTGCTATGGAAACAACCTTCCCCTTGGCTATCATTTCAATAGTGAAGCTATTGAAACACAAGTTCTAGGACAGTACTTAAAGGAGTATGTATGTGGGAGGAGGGGTGTATTTGTTCTTTCACACATAAGGTTACTTTTAAATTGTACAAATGACATATTTATAATTTTAAGTTGTCACCACTTTACCTGAAGGAGCTTCTTGATGCATTCATGGTGGCTGTTCTTGGCTGCGAGGTGTAAAGCACTGTGTCCTAAATGGATTTTTAAAATTGGGGGAAAAAAGGCCACACTTTTAAAATCTCTTTCTTATCTCTATACCAAAGACAACTATGAGGAAATAAGTTGTTCTCCAATAAAGATGGATTGTGACTCTTGAGAATAAGGCTGTGCTTTCTTTAGTGTGACAAAAGCAGGAAGAGCACAGAGAATCCCACCCACTGGGTAACATTCACAGGCACCAACTGCCGTTCTGAGGTGCAGTGAAGTTCTAGGTAGAAGCTTGTGGTGAACTCCTGATATGCAGCTCAGAAGTTCTGCTTTCCACTGTCACACGTTTATGCCAAATGTCCTGTGGCCACAACAGTATGCCAGGCTATGAGGACCACAGGCTGAGGACCCCCAGTAAAGGCAGCCCACAAGCTTGCACATCAAAGGCCCACACACTCCCTTCAGTTCCTACTCTTGATGTCTCATTTCCTCTCCTATAAATGCACTCCAGCTCTGAAGGGAAATTATCTGGAGTTTTCAGATTTCCAAAGTTCTTACATAGAAAAAGAGAAAACAACAACATTAAGTTCCCTTAAAGTCGCATTTTATTAAGTTCCCTTCATGACTTCAACATGAGACTTTCTGATGTCTCTGTGGTCAGACAACTTTACGAAATCCTAATGTTCTACCTGCCTCCTCTACTGCCAAATGGGTCTACAAAATTTCTATCGAAGAGGTGCTTACAGGCAGCCTAAGGGCTCTCACCCTAGGCCCTCTGCTATTCTACATTCAGCCTGGATTCTCTTCCCCTCGAATGCTGCCTTCTGAATGAGGCCTTTCCTGACCTTCTTGTTTAAAACACCAGTTCCTCCCCAACCCTTTATATTCCCATTCCCTGCATCTAGTATTTCCTATCACTCCTTTTCAACTCTCTCTCTGTACAAACACACACACACACACACACAGACACACACACAGTTGTTTTTCCCTTCACTAGAAGATAAACTTGGTGAGAACAGGCACTTCTGTCTATCTATTCCCTGTTGTGTCCCTAGTGCCTACAACACTGCTGGTGTACAGTATGGTCTCAATGCATTCTGTCCATTTGAATTAGAGAGCATGCTAATTTCAAACATCTGGACTGGCAGGCTTGGAGAGAAGCAACCAAAGTTCTCACTGCAAGCCAACCCAAGACACCTAGTAAACTATTTTTTTTTTTTTTGAGTTGGAGTCTCACTCTGTCGCCCAGACTGGAGTGCAG